TCCTAAATTTGTCCATTACAGAAGGCTCATTTCTTGAATTGGGGTCCAGGGTGAAGGTGGGAAATATTCTAATTCCTATCTTACCAAATCTTGAGGACATCTGTAAGGCAAACATTCGTAGAGACCATATGGAGAATGATACTTTCCTTCACAGAATTGTGAGTATAGGGACTTTCCAAAGCAGAGATTTAATTAAATCTGGTTTGCTTGCTGTGGTAGCTTCACTCACCAGACACCCATTTAAAGTGCTTGATCTGATTTTCTATACTTTGGGTAGACTTCAACCTTTAGTAGCAAGAGAAATTACTGTCTGGAAGCTTCAAGTGGCTTACCTGCAATCCTTCAATATTGTCTTTCTTTTCTTTTTTTTTAAGATGTATTTATTTATTTTTTTATTGAGAAAGAGAGAGAGCACAAGCAAGTGTGAGGGGCAGAGTGAGAGGGAGAGAGAATCTCAAGCAGACTCCATGGTGAGCATGGAGTCTGACATGGGGCTGGATCTGACGAGCCTGAGACATAGTGTCTGACACTTAACCCACTGTGCCACCCAGGCGCCCCCAATATGGTCTTTCTTAAGGAATGTCTGTTCTGTCCATTATCTCCACTGCCAAAGGAAATGCATCCCTCATAATACAAGGGTGCCAAAAATATCAGAATGAAGTGATTACCCTCCCAAAACAAATGGCCCCACAAGAGAGGGAGAATGGAGGGTGCGGTTTTTTTTCCTTGCCAGAGGCTATGAAATTGTCTTTTGTGAGAACAAATAAGGGTTTCTGTTTTACTAGCCATTTAGATCATATTATTTATGATGTTTCTAAGTTGTGGTTCTAAGCTGACAAAGATTTTGGTGTTCTCTCTAAAGTAATGAAGCATTTGTCCTTCTTCACTGCATTTTTCACCATTATAAAACACCATTCCCATTTAAACTAATTAAAGTACTTAAATTTAAACTTTAATGGGAAAGATGGTTGGAGTCTTTTGGTTTGTTGGTTTTGTTTTGTTTTGTTTTGTTTTCCTAATTTATGGCTTGGAGCTGCAATTTTCTTCAGTTGCTTTTATTTTGACCCTAGGAAAAAAGCAGTTGCTGTCATTGTTTTGTTTCTGTTTTCTGTTATTCAGCCCTAGCCTTTCAGAATTATTCTAATCCTTTATATGACTCATGAAGCTTCACTATTATCCTGAAGGCAAGAGGTACAAGATTTGTAATATTTATAATTATCTTTCAGACTCCATGACCCCCAGCCTAATACTTCACTATAACTCCACTTCTGAAAGAGCATTTATTCATTTATTGTTTTGTTCTGTTCTGTTTCCTGATACGATAGGCATCTTGATAGAGTTGTAGCTCTAGTATCTTCATTTTTACCTTAACGTCGATATGGGAACTGGTTGTTTGCAATGCTTCCCACTATCCACCATCACTTACTTGTCTCTCTGCCCCAACCATGGGCACTGATAGAAATTTTTCATCCTTTATTCACAGTAGGACAGCTTGCGTAAGTGACAACATCAGATCCTGGGGTCATGAGGAAGCCACCAATCCAAGACTAGGGTTCTGATAGAAGTCATTTAGCCTTACTGAGACCCAGTTTTCTTCTCTATAAAATGAGAAGTTGGATGAAGTCAGTGAATAGTAAGAGTTCACACAAGTGGTAAGAAGATCAGTAGCAGGCAGCCTGGGTGGCTCAGCGGTTTAGCACCACCTTCGGCCCAGGGCATGATCCTGGAGACCTGGGAATGAGTCCCACGTCAGGCTCCCTGTATGGAGCCTGCTTCTCCCTCTGCCTGTGTCTCTGCCTCTCTCTCTCTCTCTCTCTCTCTCTCTCTCTCTCTCTCTCTCTCTCTTTCTCATGAATAAATGAATAAACAATCTTTAAAAAAAAAAGAATCAGTAGCAATTTGGGCCAATATTTATGGAGGAACTTTACACACTTTTCCACATGCCAGGACTGGTTAGTACCAAGTGGAGTAGGAGGTGAGGGGGCAGACTAATAAATGGATACTTTTGATAGATTAATGATATGGTGAGAACTAGGTTCAAGAGAAGCAAGAGCAGCTCTAGAAGCATGGCATGAGCCCATGAGTTCTTTTCAATAGTTCAAAAATCAAACAAAACGCCCACATTGGCTCTGATAAGGCTGAGCTACCTAACATCTTTATGGTAGCTGGAAAATGTCAACTTAGTGTAGTAAGATTGGTTCAGTTTTGCTGATCCCAGAGCCCTGGTTGGTAGTTGGAGCCATAACTAGCAATTCTGGCACCTGTGGCAACCATTACGCGACAAACCCTAAAATCAACTTTTTAATTCATGTTGCGACTCACAGATGGGTGTTATTACCAATGTGCACCATCTGGTAGCTTCTTATTTTAACTTTTCATTCTTCCTCACTAGATACTGAGCTTTTTAAATTATTATTTTAAATTTAGTGACCCCTAAACATTCATGAGCTGAGACAAAAAGTCCTGGTCATCCTGCCCTCGTTATAGTCCTGATTTTGAGTGAAAATGAACAATGTATTATTATTCAAAACAATTCGTTTCATACCAAGGTTTTTTCAGACATGAGTTTCATGACATAAAAATTAGCAAAAGAACCCTCAGTTTCAACAATGATTTCGTTCAAATTACTGGTGGCTAGAAGACTCCATACTGCACTACCAGGCAGTATTTTGAGTCCCAAAACTTTGTATTTTCTTCATTATGCCTGCCATACTCAGCACTTGGCACACAGTGGACACATGATGGAAGTTTAATTGGAAGCATGCCAGTGGACCAGCAACATTGCAGCCATCCAATCTGGTTGCTAATATATTTCCAAAAGGCCAAGCCAGTATCCAAGGCTAGGACAAATTCCAGGATTTGTTGTCTGTTACGTGGACAGAGCCTTGAGCTAATTGGATGTCCTCTTCACATGTCCCAAAATCTGTTTTGTGAATTAAACCTCTGTAGACACACCTGTGGACACTGTCACCCCATGAGAATAATTTGAGGTTCTGGTTGTATCTTTTATTATATTTCTTGCTAACTTCTGTCATTTAATTTTTGCTGATCTCTCTCTCTCTCTCTCTCTCTCTCTCTCTCTCTCTCTCTCTCTCCCTCCCTCCCTCTATAAGAAATAGAAGTCTATTTCAGGACCATCTGGCTAGGCTAGAGGAGCCAACAGTGGCCCAAGTAACTACCAGGGAAGACTGGATATGCTCAGTAATGCCCTAAATCATTTTCTCTCTGCTTTTGACGAAAAGACCACATAACTAATACCTCAAGGTGGAATTTCTTTCCTCTTCTTTTTCTTCCTGAAATCCTTCCTCTTCTTTTTTGCCTCACTACCCCCTATAGTTCAATGCATAAGGCTCTCCAGGAGACATTCTCCCCTATCTCCTATGTACAGCCTTCCAACATTTGTATTTTATGTACACTTATATGTCTTCTCTATTAAACAATATGAACTACTTTGTTGGTCTGGGAAAAATAGGAAAAGATGTTTATATAAAGCCATTCAGAATGTATAAAGGAGAGGAAAACATGTTTTGAGCTCAGAAAATTAGAAATTTCATGAGTAGGGAAGAAAATTTCAAATTCAAGCATCAGAAATAGATCTGGAATTATTATGATTTCTTTGTTATTTAAATATAAAATGGCAAAAAATGCATAAGGGAAAAGCTAATCAATAGATTTCAATTTTAGACTACTATACCTAAAAAGAATACCACATTTAAAGCTAACATACTTCAACAACTACCTACAAAGATAAATATTTATAATGTGGTAGACAAAAGGAAAGAACTTTAATACAGAATGCATTCTTAGAAACCAATAAGAAAAAGAACATGCGAATTGCAAAGGGCCAAAGGACACAAATAATAGCAAAAGAATACAAATGGCTAATAAGCATCTGCGAAAAAATATAGAACTTTATTGGTAATCAAGGCAATTCAGATTTAAGGCAATGAAGTCTGATATTGTGTAGAAATTAAAGATTTTTTGAGAAGATAGAACCTAACCTTAGTGAGGGGTTAGGCTATGAGTACTCTCATACTCTGATGGAAGTACAATTTGGGTCAGCCTCTCTGGAGGGCAGTTCGTCGAAAGCTTTTCAAAAGTGCATCTCTTTAGAATCAAAATCCTACTTTCTTCAACAGAATTTTTTAAGCACCTGCAATGTGCCCCCTGGTTTCCAGTAACTAGAAACTAAATTTCATGTGCAGAGGTTAAATCTTTCCTAAAGAAATAATCAGACAAATGCACACTTATTTAGAAGGGTGTTTTTTAGCATAATTACTTATGATAATGAAATGTTGAACCCAAGTTTAATGTTAAATTTCATGAACACAAACACCAAAGATTTAAATCTAATAAAAGCAAATTGTTTTTCATCCTCAGGCCTAGAACCGTCCTATAAACACTGTTGTGTGGTGGCACACACTCACACGGTGCCCTTGTAGCAGGGTAAAGTCATCTCCACCAATTTGACCTCTTTTGAGCCAATGGTGTCATTTCTTAACATATGGCAAAAACAAACAAAAAACATCGCTAGCACTGCAAGGAATCCCTAAGACCAATAAATTGGGACCTGATGGGTAGAATCCTCAATCACTGCATATCTTGGTTTATAAGATTGACCTTTGGTCTAACATTTTTCTTGGAAGAAAGAACAATTTATCCTGAAAGAAATACATAAACACAAATAACACACAAGGCGGGTGGAGAGAACCAACAAAAGCACCCTTTTACTAAGCTATTACTCCTCATCTATCCAAAATATTATTGTAAACAAGGTAAACTAGAAGGCTTAGAGTATTATTTACTTCGATGTCTAAGACGCCTGCCCACCGTACCCTTTCCTCATTGTTTTTTGGCTTTTGTTATAGATAAGCACTGGGTCGGCAGGAAGTAGATGCAGCTGAGGGTGGCCATATATATCTGTTTCCAGGTTTTCTGTGCATTTTGAATGGTTTGTGCCATGCTCCTATAATGATGTGTGGTTGTTGTTCTTTCTCCAGAATGTCGAGTGGTGAAGTCCACTTCTTACACCAAAATAGCTTCATCATCCCGCAGGAGCGCCACCAAGAGCCCGGGGCCTTCCAGGCGCAGCAAATCCCCTGCATCAACCAGCTCAGGTAAAGCACCACAGGAGATGAAGAAACTGTCTTGTTTCTGATGCATGATGAGCAGAGGGTGTGTGAAGCCCAGAGCATGAGGTTTTTAAGATAGGGTAGATTCCGGTTTATAATTTTAGAACAAGTTGGAGTGGTGTGGAACAGATTTGCTGGAGTCTAGCATGTTAGCTTAAAGGAAAAGCATCAAGCTTGGGAAAACTTACTTAGCAAAGACTCAGGAAACCCAAATTTGCCCACAAATAGAAGTATACTACCGACTTGCGTCATTTCTACCACCAAAATCAATTTTTCACGCTAAGAGCAAACCCCCCTCCCCCCCCAACTCCAAAAGCCTCTGTTGAAGCATTTCTTCTACTTGGCACTGGCTTATGAGGAGTTTCCCAATTTGTATTTGCTGAACTTCCATAAAACACATGTTTTACTCTGGGCCCCAGAGTGGCTCTGGAGCTAAAAGCAGTAAGAATAAGAGCCTGGAGCAGGAAAAGCTGTGTTGTCTCTGGGTCAGTGTCCTGCCTCTCAGGGGCTCTATGCTGGTGCTATAGCAGGATGTGTACTCAACAAATGACTGCCTCAGCCCTGCATCTTCCTTCTTTGGTCTTAAAAATAAAATGAGTCAGAAGGTATGTGTTTGGTTTGGTTTGGTTTTTGGTTCTTTCTTTTTAGTTTCAGGAATAAGGTCTATTTCACTCCTGAAGGGAATTATTTATTAAATAATATAAATTGTTGAATGGGAATTATTAAATGATATGTACATCAAGGTGATTGTCCCTAATTTCATGAAGACAGAGGAAGCTCTTATGAATAGAGACAAAGACCCTTTGTGGCTACATGGAGGCCTTGTACTCGCCAGTGTGAGCCAAGAGACATGTGCAGAGATCTCTAAGCTGGAGCAACAAGGCCTGTCTCTGGCATCATTCGCCAGCTATTAAACTACAGTGTAAGTTATAACCTCCATACTTAAAAAGAGAGAGGTGCTCCGATCTGTTTTTCCTAATAAAAAAATAAAACTATGACCTCCAAAGGAAGTCTTGGAAAAAGAAACTCTTAGTAAACTCTTAGCTAGGTGCTTAGCTAGAGCACCTAGCTCATCTTGGTTCTCTCTGAATTGCCTTCTCCCTGGGCTTTTATTGTTCACAGCAAATCCCTAGTCTCCAAAGATCTTCTTTGATGTTCAAAGGGTGGCAATAACGGGCAGCCACTGCCCCCTTCTCACAGCATGCCCCACATCATAACCAGTCAAGGAATAAGTCTCAGATCATGGTTAGCCCTTGAGATGCAGCTTGTTTGCTTCTCCTAGTTTAAGGGTAGGCTGAGAACTCTTTCCTTAATATGACATAGCTCACCCAGATTGGACGGAATCCTGAAATGAGACTTTGCTAATGAGTGAGGTATTGAGACTCAAAGTGTAGAGTGCATGAATGTTACTTGGGAACTCAGTAAAGTTTGTCATTCTGACTGCTGCCCCCATGCCTCAGATTCTGATACATAGGCCATAAACCAATGTTTTAGCAAGTATTCTAAGCAATTTTAATCAGATGATCTATGTATGTACCATACTATGAAACGCAGGGGTTAAGGAAGTGGCTCCCCAAATGTGGTTTCCTGGACCATCAGTAGCACCATCATCTGAGCATGTTAAAAATGCAGTCTTGATGAGGCCCTCTGCAGACCCACTGAGTCAGCAACCCAGGAGTTTAGGGCCCAGCAGTCTGGGTTTTCACAAGCCCTCCAGATGATTCCGATGCTCACCCAAGTTTGAGAACTAATGAATTATAGATAATAAAAGGGAAATAAATATAGGGAGTCATTTGACTGCATAATCTGGTGAAAGATATGACTTGCTCATCTTCATTTATTGGCATGACAGAGATGACTTCCTTTCTATGCCTCTACTTGGTTCCAAGTGGCAATGTCCATCTTTAACCTTGCAAGCCAAGAGCAGAGCTCTAGGTACCATGAAGTGTAGACCAAGGTTTTAATGACCCACCTTCAGAGAACCTATTACCTGGGTCAAGAGAGAATTTCTGTCTGAAGAGCATCCCTTCCCTGGAAACAGATATTGGGGAAAGTCTTTCCCTTTAAGAGAGATACCACCTGTACACAGAGATGTGGACTTCTACCAAATGGCAGAGAGGTGCATGTACAACTCCCCTTGGAGACCTTAGCTTATTCATTAATCAGCCAGCAGGTGAAACCTGAGCTCTTTAGAGCATGTTCAGTCTTGACCAAAGAAAATTGCTCATTTTCTCTGAGCAAACCTGGGCTGTCAAATGAACCCCCATGGAGCAGAAAGGAAGAACAAGATCGTGGGCCTAGTCAGCCTGTCGCTCCTAAAATCTTGGCCATTTGGTATAATCATGGAAAGTTGTACAGGAGAAAGAAGCCCCACATTAACAGAAATATTAGCAATACTGTAAAAAACAACAATATTACAAAACAAAATCAGTCCCCAATCTAAAACACTCTGACATTGATGAATTTTTAATCTTTTCTCACTTCTTTCTTAGTATATACCAGGTGTAGTGGGGAAGATATCTAATAATGGGTGATTAACCAAATTCTTATGTTTTTTTTTTACGGGATAGCTATTTCAACAGAATCAATATACATAATTTAAGCATGATAGCTGGTGACTTTTTGTTGTTATTGTTTTTAACAGTTTTTAAAATGTTGATTTAGTAGTTTTTTTTTTTTAATTGAAGTAGAGTTGACACACAATGTTGCATTCGTTTCAGGTGTACAACATAGTGATTTGACAAGTCTGTACATTATGCTGTGATCTCCACGAGGGTAGCTCCCATCTCTCACCATAGAATGCTATTATAATGCCATTGACTACATTTCCTATGCTGTGCATTCTATGTCCATGGCTTATTCACCCCATAACTGGAAGTCTGTATCTCCCACTCTCCTTCACCCATAGTGCCCATCCCCCACATCCTTCCCTCTAGCAACCATCCATCTGTTTTTTATATTTATGGGCCCCCTCTGCTTTTTCTTTCTTTGTTTATTCGTTTAACAGGTTTTATTTTTAAGACCTGTAGGCAGGCAGTTAAGTGCTCCTGGGTTTCGGCAGGAATTTCTTTTTCTTTTTTTTCTTTTGTCCTTATAAGTCAAGGAAGGGGGATAAGTTGGATTATCGTGCATATGTCAAAGAATGGAATCATGAGATCTGGAGTAGTTACTGTCTGCTACTAAGTTTGCTACTATAGATTCAGAATAAGTGTCCTGTTTTCTGTCTGCTTATGGCAGCCAGATTGAAGGAGGGAATACAAGAGAAAAACATGGAGAGAGAATTTTTGCAACTCAGAAATAACTGCATAAATAGTGAAAAACCTGTTTTACTCCAAAAATGAATCTAAAAATTGGAGTTTGAAAAAAGGAATTGTGAATCTAATTTTAAAAAGATAATTATGAATACAGGAAATCGTTTCACTTGAGAATTAACTGGTAACATAATCACTACTCAGCATCTTGAAGATTATATAAATCTTACAAATATAATACATCTAATATATCTACTTGTAATCTTATAAATATAAATGAATGTATCATTTACTAAAAGTAATTTCAGAAACTAAAAAGCAGACAGGCAAATGTAATGAATGTACTTGTATTTGTCACTGCCAACATTTGTAACTATTCTTTTTAGAAGTTTAAAATGGATAGAATGCATTACTTCAAAATCAGTAGATTTTTTCAAACAAGCATTTCTCTTTACTTTTGTTTCCCTGAGCCCTTTCAACTCTAGTTAAAATCTGGTTGATTTGACTGCCACTAACTTGGAATTTGTGGTAAGTGTGCCATGGCAGGTAGTATCTTTTCCATAAAGAAAGTGGAATCTGAATCCATTCTAAAATTAAACTTCATCAAGGTGTTTTTAACTTCTAGGTCAAAATTAATTAAATGGTACTGATCACATTTTGTTTAACATGAGACCTTTATGCATATAAAATTTTGCCTTTTGATCTAGAAAGCACTTTATGCAACCATTTCTTGGTTGTATAACAGCTTATAATATGCAATGACTATCCTTGATTCTGACTTGCTACCAAACCCTATCACCTTCCTCTGGATGATTCAACTTAGAGAAGGTCTACAGAGCTGCAATACCTCGTCACAAATCTGTAGGTTATGTCAGTGTTCCCAAGACCACTCTCTTTCCCTAGTATCTAAGCTCAGAGTTTAGGAAGTCCCGTGATATTTCCATTTCTTTTCTGGGCAAATGCAGCTGCTGGGTGTCAGGGGAGTGCCTGCCTTGGGCCCCTGCACTGTGCTCACCTAAGACTCTTGGCTTAACCCAAGTATGGCTTTTATACCCAGTGGAAAGGAGCACCGAATTATCGCTACATTAACTGCATCACCATTTTCCTAAGATGGCCTGTTCACTGTTCTTCAGAAATCATAAAGACTAGAATGTGAATAATTTTACTTTCATACCTCTTAAGGGTTGATGTTGCCCCAGACCCAATTGCCACCATGAACCTGTCTTTTTAACGTTAAAGAATCTTTGCTTCTACCCTTAAAGTATTAACTTAAAGTTTGAAATAATTTCTATTTCATTTGTTCAATTTCTACTTCCAAAATTCACCTTTCTATGTTATACAGAGATTAGAGCTTAGTATAAAGTTAAGATTTGGTCAGTTTTCTTTTTTGTGTTTTAAGATTTTATTTATTTACTCATGAGAGACACAGAGAGAGGCAGAGACATTGGCAGAGGGAGAAGCAGGCTCCTCCTGGGGAGCCTGATACAGAACTCAATCTCAAGACTACGGGTTCATGTCCTGAGCCAAAGGTAGACGCTCAACCCCTGAGCAACCTAGGTATCCCAAGATTTGCTCAGTTTTTGTGCCATTCTGATGTTCATGATAATACTGTCAACTGTATTTAAATGACATTAGAGTTTACGTAGGATCTTTATGTCTTTGATCGTTTTTGATTCTCCTAACCATCTCCCAACTACAGTCAAGACATGATAGTATTATTTGTTATGTAATAAT